GGGAAGCGGCGCGCGCGGACCCGCAGTAGTAGTAGTTGCAGACGCACACGCAACACGGCCCTCACACACGACGACGGAGCAACTTTGGTAACACTAAGCCCCCCAGGATGAACACGCGGTAAGTGATTTGTGCGTAGCAAATCACGATGCTATATGCGAGTTCAGCCTGTTCTTTTCCATCGATATGCAGATATACGAACGAGCGGACGTGAGGGCCGTGTTGCTACAGGAAAGAGGAAACTGAGGCTGGTCTAGTGTTCTACAGAAAGAGCGTCGCTCGCTAAAGTTAAACTTTCCCGTGAGTAAGCCAGTAAAAACGTCTCGCCTGGTCCGCATGCTATGGTCCTAAAAGTACGCGAAAAAGCTAGCTCTCATCACTACAGAAGGTTCAAAAAGTAGATTTCGTACAGCTCGCCTGGTCCCCGTCTAAAAATGTATTTTTCGCCAACGAGTATAATTATTGTAACAAAAATGCTAGTTCTCAGTCAAGGGCGTAGTATGTCTTGTTTTTTCCTTTACCTTTTATCAACGTTGTTTAATCATCTTAAGTCAAGGCACAGGTAGTGGCTCACTGTAGCTCTCGTTCCTCTTTTCTCTCTCCACTAGTCCGTCCAGCTTTTTCTTTATCTATCTATCTAGCTTTCACTGGGGGTCTCTTGAGTTTCTCTCCAAAAAACTGTTGCACCGCCGCACCAACGAGTGCGAGCATACCAAACGGTAATATTCTGATCTGATCTGATATAGTTTTTGTTTTCTCAGAAAGTCGAGGCTCGTCGTGACGAGGATGCTGTCTCCTAATCTGCAGAAAGCGGCAAAGAAGAAGTCCCAGGAAGAGAAAGAGGTGAAGAAGATGATGGGGCTCATTCATTGCGGATTACGACATTGGTCCGAAGGAGATCGTCCAGGCCGTCAAAGAGAAAGACGTTCCCAAGCTTCGCGCCGGTTTGAACGTTATGCATATGGAAGAATCTGTCACTTGTACTTATTGCCTCTTGAACTTTGACAACAAAGAAGTCAAGTGAGGATCCGCGCACCACAAGTTGAAAATATAATGTCACCTACTTCATCTTTCACCATATTAGAATTTGCATTTTTATTCGTCTTCTTGTTCTTCATCTTCTTCTTCCACGCAAGAGGTACATACTAGTAGCAGACTTTTGCACATTTTCATACTGGCCTTCGTCTCGCCAAACACGCGGGACCCGGACACGGGGATGACCTTGCTCCACCTAGCTGCGATTAACTTCGACCAGCAGGTTTTTCTCCTCTTAATCAAGAAGAAGGCGGACGTGAACCTGTTGACGTCCCCGGACTGCCACGACGTGTGGGACCTGGCCAGCAGCTACGTGCGCGGGTTCATGAAGCACAAACTGAAGCTGAAGGTGCCCACCGACCGGGTTTTCCTAGAGGACGACGAGGCCACGGTGAACTCCATGCTGATGTCTGCGGGGAGAAGTAGTGGCGGAGCAGCCGAGAGCAGCAGCAAGTCGCCGAGAAGGGGCGGTGGAGCATCCTCTTCATCTGCAGCAAAGTCTACCTCATCCCCCACAAACGCAGGAGCCGGAAACAAGGGCAGCGCGGCAAAGTAGAAGTTGTACTAGAGATAAACGCCTCGTCGACCAGACTGACTGCACGACCACCTGCTCAATCTTCACTCCTGCAATGGCGGATAGTAACCAGTTCTTGTGAGTAGGATAGTAACCAGTTCTTGTGCATTCCTAAACCAGGAGCGAGTGAAGGTGTATTTGAGTTGTAGG